GCACTTCGACTGCAAGACAATGAACTAGAATTGGAAGTACTCACTGTAAATTAATGCAAAAAGGAAGAGAATGTATGCAGAATGAATTCGTGAATTTACTGTGTGTTTTTCGATGAAAGCCCGAGGACCATTTAAATAGAGGAGAGAGTTGACGGTTGAGTAGTTTCCATACAATTTGTAAACTGTCTCCACTCATGCCCACTTAACGCACAATTTTTGTAAACTGTCTCCACTCACACCCACTTAACGTAGGATTTTTTGCAAACTGATAGGACAATCAAATAGATGGAATTAATTGAATTCGAATAAAAAATTTAAATAAATTTTATCCAAAAAATTGATATTGACACAAGCCCACGACCTGACAGCCGAACGGCGACGAGCAGCCTTGAATTAGTCTAGACTGTCTAAGACTCCTTCCTTTCAAAGACTATTGGTACCCCTTAGGGCCCAAACACATTTCCAAACTTGAAGTTTATTAAGTAGTTCCAGATTGTGTTTGCAACCAATGTGGGATTAGAACATTTTTCCAATTTTTTTCCAATTATTCATCTTATTTATTATCCAACTTTCAACCATAATTTCTCATTCATATTGAAATGGATTTTCACAATTAAATATTCTACACTCATCTACTCGGAACGTAGAATTTAATTGAACATTAATTTCGATAAATCGAACATCGGGCCCCACTTAAAATTGTGGTCAAAGTTGACCCAATTGGCCCACCATTTCCAACACTTATCTACCTACATGCTTTCTGAATGGAGTGGATACTTTTCTGTGTCTTCGCTTATCAATATTTGTTGATGACCCTTCAAGACGAATATAGTCATACATGATTCCCTTCCAAGGGCTCCCACCTCTTGATTGAGTTAGAAAAACTTTGTTTGTTCCAGGAAGCAGTAGAGATCCCGGTACAGAAATACTGTATAACCAGTACAAACCATGAATGCCGTGCCTAGCAATAGAATTGTCTTTGCCTATCAGACCTGTCGAAAAATGAGGTACTTTTGTACTTGGATCGTTCATCCGGACCTAAACAGCCAAATTTATGTTGAATTAAAGAACGGCTTATCTCTTACAAGTGGAAAAAAAATAAAAATAAAATAAAAGAAACAACGAAGATTGAATTCAATGGAGAGTATACCTGCAATTCAGCATCAGTAGCCGATGCCAATGCCAGTTGAAGCGTGTAATCTCCTTTCTCATCAATATAATCAAGATCAAATAAAATTTGCCATGTGGTAGGAATGTATGTTTTATTTCCTGTATTCCTACAATGCAAGTTTATAACTAGAACTATAAATAATCAAATAATCAAGGGAGCCAAAAAGCTTTATGATATACCTGTTTACTTGAGCAAAATACCAATCTGTCTGATAATTGCTGACACCAACTGTATAAACTAAATCTCGCTGATAATACAGCTCCGTGTAGCGATCCCATAAACCGTACTGCCTAAACCTGTTGAGTTGCAAGTGATGTAAAGATGGTTGCATGGAATTGGAATAAAAATCAGCGGAAGAAAACATATTTATCCATGCGTTCGTACTTCGTACATACTTTTCACCATTGTCAACGTATAGTTGGTTCAAACGGATTGGGTTTGGATCAGGCACAAAATACTCAGCAGCAGTCCGATCAGGGATGCCAATTTCCCACAAGGTAGGACCGTTTCTTGGAGGATTATATACAAGATTACCCAATTTAATTGTGTTTCCTATATATCATAAAGAAAAAACAACTGAGATGTACAATGTCTTTTCTTTATAAAAACAGATAATTTAAGAAAGACCAGATCTTATGCGATCAAACCTGGTTGGACGCTTATATACACATTATATTTATAATCACCAATAAATCCAGGGACCCAAGCATACAAACTATAATTCCCGGCTTGAACACCCTTAATTAGGAAGCATCCCCTGTCATCAGCTTGTGTCCAGAATTGATAGCCCTGTAGAAACAGAAAAGGGGAAGCAATAATAATGAAGAGAGCTAAACCTCATAAGCCAGACTTTTTTACGAATGAAGAAGAAAAACCTTATTTTCTCTTTGCCAAGAACCAGTGTCTCCAGGAAGAGCCAATCCAATATAAGCAGAGCTTGCTCTTATAAGCTTTTGACTGATATAACTGAAACAATATATTTAAGTTTTTTAAATTTTAAATTTGTGTCATTTAGCATTCAATAAAATAAAAGGAGTATCAGAGTCATATTTTGCAGAATAAAATTGACAACATGTGTCATAAGTTACAGCACCAATGCCTCCATTCTCCTGGTAAAATACCAATTTCCATAGGAGGATTTCTCTAGTTAACTTATGAAAACAACTACACGATTTCTTAGCTAATTTACTTTTTTCTTTGAATATTGATATCAGAACATAACAGATGGATATACCTGTCACGAACTAGTAATCGACCCATTACAATACCACGTTTCTCAGCATAAGGGTAGTCCTCTGACATAGGGAAATCATATGGCCAGCTTTCTGTCTCTATGAGCATCTAATTATATATAATGGTGAGTATCCAAATTAATTTAAATTAGATATTCTTCTGGCAAACAACATTGATAAAAGTATCAGGTGATACCTGTTCTTTAGCATCTGCCCAAAGTGTGAATGGATTGTGATCAGCAGAAACAGAATTTAGGTAGATAAAAACAGGGCCAAAGACTTTTTTCCATGGTTCTCCATCACGGAAGTTTATCATTAAAGGTCTTCCAGCATAATGGGTGCTAAAGAACATCTGCATATGCATTGCATAGCAAAATAAATGCATAGTACATAGAAATGTTGGACAACGGTTTATAATAACTATGCAAGATGTTCCTAAGAATAATTGAATAGAACTACCCTTTTTAGGTCGATTTCTGAAGGGAACGATAGACGCTATTGTTTTTTGAATTTACACAACTGCTACCAGGATTTTATGCCTCAAAAGTAAAGTAATAATTGCCAAAAGAACGTAAATAGAAAACACAACACAATATTTATTACTTAATTCTTCCATGTTTACAATTATTTCACACGAATCTATGTCATATGAGATAAGGACATAAGTCAGTCATATGAAATACTTACAGATAGGGCAATTGGACCAGCATGAGAAGTGAGGTCTTGCTTGACAGGCCCTGCTGTTTTGAACTCATTGCTTGGAGTGATTATCCAAAATCCAGAGGGCGGGTTGGTACATATCCACCCATGGACTCGACAATCCTTATGGTCACTTGAATATTGATACTTGTCATCGACCTGCAAGCATAACATATTTTACAAGTTACAATTCTTATAGTTTTCTTGACTTTTTACAGTGCCAGGGCCTCCTTTTTGTTGTTTATTGTGAGTTATATGGTTCTTATGGTTTTCCTTCCATTTTATTATTTTTAAGACCCCCCAGTATTAGACGCTTCAAGCCAGATAAATAAAATATATGTTTATTTGTTAACACACACTTTGAAGCTTGACGTGTAATTCTTCAGAAATACTATTATCACCTACAAGATTCAATTAATTGAAATGTGCAATTTACCTACCTCTCCTCTGAGGAAAGAATTGTCAGGATCTGTCAGGAGAACTGCTTCTGGGTAGTCTAGAATCTGACCTCTCTCGCGGTCTAGTCTTGTAGGCATGATCCTTTGCCTTTCATCGGATACTGCCATGAATTGAAACCTGAACACAGAGCACAGGATATTACAAACATTTTGTCCTTGACTATATGTGTTACAAATGTAATTGTATTTAATAGAAAGTAAGGATATCCATACAAGTTGGGGTTTAGCTTAAATGCTATTCGGCCTTGTGACAAATTAATATCGGGCCAACCCTCTAGGTGCTCAAAAGTTGCATACAAGTAAAATCCAGTAGAGCCACGCAACATTATAAACCTATAAAGTAATTTGAAGTTCAGTAAAACTTCACTAGCAAACGAATAAAATATCCACAGCTAAGTGAATAAAATGGACTTACACTGCACCTTTTGTCAATATTTAGTGGAAGTACTTCATTTGAAGAAGTCCATGGTTTCATGAATGACAGCTCTACTTGGTTTTCATCTTCCTTAATAACCTGGAAACTAGTCCCTTCAAGCCTGGACCAGAACACATTTATCTTAGCTAGCTAATAGTAATTGTTCGAAGAAGATGACATTTCGGACCTATTTGGAAGCATTTTCAATCTCTTTATACGGCCAATGTGTCAAAAAACTATAATGCAATTTTATCTGATCTGAAACTATAGTTTTTGAGAAAGAAACGACGACTCTGGAGGAAATAGAAAGGAAAGAAAAACTCACACCTGCAGTTCCGAATCTATTCCTAAAAAAACACTAATTTAGTGAATCTATTCACAAAATATTTCCTTAATATTTCAAAAACACCAAGTTATCATCCACAACTCATGCTTTCGATTTGCCACTATGACGCAAGGATACTTGTCCTATCATGTTGACAATCCTCGAAACATGTATCCAACAATCCACAAGCCTTTGTTCAATCTTTTATATATTTTTTAAATCACTGACACTCCAGATATACTTAAAAGACATAACCATGACCATGTGTCCAACATCTCATGCGTCGTGTCCTATATTAAAAATAATAAAAATAAAAAATTTATACTGACGTGTCTGTCCTACTTTTCCAAAAAATCACATGATGGCGTGACCGTGTTCATGTTCGTATCTGTGCAACTTAGATCTGTCATGAGCACCATCCACCTTAGTATATGCAGTTCTCATGATATTTACATAAACGAATGATGTGACTTACTTGTCATAAATGTCGCCGGGATGTTCTGGTTTGCTCCAAACAACGTCCCAATACCTACATTTTTTGGACAAGAATTAATAAAAAAATTGATTCTAGGGCTATAGTTAAAAGGAAAAGGAAAAAAAAAAAAAAAAAGATAAACATTGAAAATAATAGTATAACACTACCCTCTATCGTTTTCTTTACGATCACTTTCCAGTAAATTATCAATGCCATTGTACTGTATCCCGGTGATCATACCCCCAGGGTTAGACAAAGTAGCATTGACAAGGCCATTATACACCACCAACTGCATATATGGATTTATACAGCAAAATTTAAGATGATAATAATAAGAAAATAAATAAATAAAGATAAAGAAACATTAATGCGATTTTACGTATTTATCCAATATCTGCAACTGGACGGGAGGGAAAGATGCTGCATCTGTATTGTTCTTTTGAATCCTTCTGCACTAATAACGAAGAAACATTACGAATTTTAAAGTTTAAACGATCATAGCCAAGCCCGGGAGAGGGCTCGATCCGTAATCGAGAAGCAAGCAATGATTCGTCTTCTCACTTTCCCAAAACAATTAACCAAAAACCAGTATATACATGTATATCTACACAATTTTTTATTTTTTTCAAGAATCTCAGCAACTATGCGGTTGGGCCTAGTACCCCCATAGACTCCCATTTACTATTCCAGGCCCAAATACAAATTTTACTCAAATGTTTGACCTTTTAAAGCCGTGGAATAGTAATTATGAACATGGATATAAATGATGTTTGACTAGTTTAAATTAAACGAAACTGAACTCAACTGCATTCTCATTGCACATTCAGTAAGCACAATTAGCTGCAGAAGAAATCCCAAAAGCAAACCCTGTTGTCTCTTCCAACACATCTTCTTTCCTGCCATAAATGGTAAAACCTAAGACTTTTCCTCCCGGCTCGGATACATGAATTCCTTTTCGCCAACATAAAAAGAATAACAGAAAAAAACTACTGGGATTGTGTAGAATTACCTGTCTGAAGAATCAAATGCAATGCCTTCGTTTTACCAGTTAACCTGTGGTAAAAAGTTCAAAAAACTCCCCCCTATAGGAGAAAGTAACAGACGGCTAGCCGGCGGTGGTGCGAATATGATGCGGTAAAAATGGTATTCCAATAGGCTGCAACTAACTGGAATAATATGAAATGGAATTAGGTAAAATCGAGAGTAACTCATCAACGGTGAGTCTGTGAAGAGCAGTTACCAACGAATGGTATTTATGCTTTCAAAATGGCCCTATACACACACACACACACATATTTAGATTGTATCTTCATTGACTTTCGACCATCATTTTATGGTACGTGACCAAAACATAGTAAAATTAAATGATACTAATTTAGATAGTCATGTCAATAAATATGTCATTAATATTACTCAATGAATATGTCACTATGAATAGCATTATTCTTTTTTTAACGTTTTAAGATCATAAGTTAATATTAAATTGTAAAAAGTCTAATTTATACTCTACATTTACTTAATACTTGACCGTCGATACATAACTTTCATAATGTATAATGGGGTTTGACAATATATATGTTCGAGTAACAATAATTTTTCGATGGTTTAGAGATTTGTTATTCATGATTAAATTCTGTTCCCAAGTGATTTTGTCGTATTATCATTTCATTCAAGAAAATGAAATTTTGATTAGTAATTACATAATCTCATTAAATGTCTAGGTGTTCTTTTAACTCAAAAATCAATGTTAAAATATATATATATAAAAAATTCTTCTTCCTGATTTTTTTAATTGCCATATTTGTTGTCCCTTATTGCTTTCACCTTAGTGGGCAGTCATTTTTTTACTCTAAATAAAATTTTTAATTTAAAATTGTCTCTATATGGCGGTGGAATTATTTTATTTATTGACAAATAAAAGGAGAGCGTTTCAAATTTTTCTAATATTAAGGTATCATGAGCTTGTATACCAAGTTAGGATTCGTATGAGAAGAGAAGAATGTAATTGGAGGAGGCTGAATAGAAATTCTTTCGGCCTCCCGTTGAGGAATAATTGAAGAGATTTATATATGATTTGTATTGATTGAACAATCTCATTTAAAAACCTTAAATTATTTGAAAGAAATACATTTATTAATTTTGAGTTTTATTAATTAACACATCCTCTCACTGGAAGACGAATTCATTATTTCCCCCATTAAAAGCCTTGAACAGCAGTAAAAATGGAATGCGTGACTTCTATTAACTTTAATTACTACTACGTTGAAATGCATCATTTAAAATATTAAGCTGTTAAAAGGGAAATACATTTAAGGGTCTGTTTGGGCCGTATTAAAATCTGATTTTAATCCAAGTTAAAGTCAAATAATTAATATTAACCACATCTTTCATGGGTCCCACATCTTTTTAATCACACATTTCAAAAACTTTTATCACAATCCACTAAAAATCTAATTTTAATCCCCACCAAACATCTTCTTATTATATAATATTATTTTACGAGGAATGAACTTTAAGATATTATAAATTTTAATGAATCTCACGTTTTGAATAGATTTCCACATAATCTTATTAAAATGGGGAAATTTCAAAAAACCAAAAAAAAAAAAATTGTAGTGTGTATTTTTAAGCTTAAAATCCATTCAAATATTTTGATATTACTTTATTAATGAATTCTTATAAATTCACAATTTATTGAGGATGCCTCGATTTTAAAGAATTTAATTGAAAGTTTGAAATCCTTTAATATCTTAGTTGAAGATATCTATATTGAAATAAAATTCACTAAAATCTCAATTGGGGAAATTTAGAAGGATTTTCAAAAGGGTAAATGGTATTTAATAATGTTATTTTTACATAATGGAGTTACATAACCCCTGTTTGTCTTTCATTCTTTCAAAACTTTTTTGGACATATTTATTTTCAACCATAATCACACAATAAAATATTTTACACATAAATTCAAAATATTTTCCTACTTTTTAACCATATATTTTCAAAAAATTCACATTTTTTCAAAAATAATAATAATTAAATAACCACCAACCAGGGACATAATGATTTACATATAGATGATGTATTAAAAATGGTGTGGGGAAGGTTTTTTTTTTTTAGTTGAAAAATTTCTGATATAATCATATCCCACCACATCTTGTACATATAAAATATTATGTAAACTATTATGTACATGTCGACAACTAGTATATATTACCACCACTTTTTTTGTCCCTCATAAACAATTTTTCATATAATAGAAGCTTTGACAGTTCGTAATTTTTTCTTTATTTTTCTATATTTTCTTATCCCCTTATTTTTCTCTAAACAATGATAAATCATGTGGATAAATTTAAGAAATTGATCTCAATTTGTAACAATGTAAACTTGTTGGTTCAGATCTATTGAATTAGAAGAGGCAGATCCGTTGTATATACTTTATGTGGGACATTAGGTTTCGTGTACTCAATGGTTTTTGCTATGATTCCATCATTGTTGGAAGAATATTCTAATGTTTTGTTTGACATAAATTAAAATTCAGATTTTAATTTAAGTCAAAGTCAACAATTATTAATGAATTGTCGTTGTTACAAGACACTGGAGGATATTGTGAAATTGTCAAGGTTAATCTTCTCTAATCTAGGAGAATGATAAAGCTATGTTCACATGAGGTAGACACTACCTCGACGGATTTTTCTAGCTTTTTTTTTTTTATTTCTTAGCTTTTTTTTTTTTTAATTTTTTATATATTTATTTATTTATTTTATGGCACTTTAATTATCTAGACTAGAGATTATTACGTCTTTTGCGAGATTATGTTTATCCTCAAGTTTTAGTATTCAAACTCAAGTTAGAGATTTACTATTTTTAGGGCAGAAAATTTATTTATTTTATTTTTGAAGCATGTCTAGTTTTCAATGTTACGTAGCAGCATTGTTAACTTCGTCCCAAGTCGCTACATATTACGCATAAAACCTATACATGTAAATTTCCTATGGTAGGAAATGTATAGAAGAAAATTCGAATTTGAGAAGCTTTCTGTATATTCAGTATGCAAAATTGATGTGTAAAATGAGTATTTTATACAAGAGAGAGAGAATAATTCTATATCTAACAATAACAACTTCCCTAACTAATAACCCTGATTTAGGAAAATTACAGAGAATAATTAGATAGGATCTTGATTCTTAACTTGCCCCTTGAAGTTGGAATAGTTGTTGATCATTCCTAATTTGCTGGTGAGCTTAAAAAGCTGTGGCATACCCAATGAGTTAGTGAAAATGTCTATTGGTTGTCTTGATTCGATATACGGTAAGTTTTAACTAACCTAGCTTGCACTTTTCCTCGAATAATGTGACAATCGATTTTAATGTGTTTTGTTCGTTCATGAAAAATGATTGGAAGCTATGTGTAGAGCTGCTTGACTATCACAGAATAGCTTTATCGGCTGTGGATGGCTTATTCCCAGATCATGCAAAATGTTTTGGAGCCAGGTGACCTCACAACAAACAGTTGCCATAGAATGGTATTCTTCCTCTGCACTTGAGCGGGTAGAACTCGTTGTGCTGCTTCTAGGTGAGGAACTCGAGGCTTATCCATGAATTGATTGAGAATATGAACCACATAAAGCAAGTTTGGGCTTTTAATGGTCAAGTAAATCAATCGCCCAACAAGTCTTTGATAAGAAGAGGGGTTTTCATTGCAATCGCCTTCTTCCTTACTAAGAGATAAATTCTGGTCCATTGGGGAATTGGCGGGCTTCACTGCTAAGTACCCCATGTCTTCTAATATTCAAGTGTATATTTCCTTTGTGAAATAACAATTCCTCTTTTGGATCGAGATATCTTTATACCCAGAAAATATTTCAAGCTACCAAGATCCTTAAACTTAAATTGCTACATGAGATGAGCTTTAATTCCTTCAATTTCTTGTAGATTATTGCCTGTCAGAATGATGTCATCTACATAGATGAGGAGATGAAGTACCATGGTATCGGACAAATAACGAATGATCTGACTTGGATTGTATAAAGTGTGCAAGGACTTTGGAGAGCTTGATGAACCATTAATGGGAAGCTTGCTTAAGTCCATATAAAAATTTGTGAAGCTTGCATACACGCATTCCTCCTTTTTGTCCAAAACATGAGGCAATGGCATGTAAACCTCTCTATCTAGATCATCGTGTAGGAAAGCATTGCTAATATACAGTTGTCGAAGGTGCCAATTCATGGAAGATGCAACAGCTAGGAGTAGGTGTACAATAACAAGCTTGGCAATTGGGGCAAAAGTCCCATGATAATAAAAGCCTACAATCTGACTATAACCTTTTGTAACCAAGCATGCTTTATAGCGCTGAACAGTGTCATCAGGATTGAATTTGATTTTGTAGACCCATTTGCAACCAACGGGTTTCCTATTGAAGTTAAAGTTTGAAGAGACTAAGTCCCATTATCACGAAGAGCAAGAAGTTCTTCGTCCATGGCAAAATGCCATTATGGATCTTTAACGGCCTGGGGAAATGAGGTAGGTTCTTTGACAGCTGAAATGGAAGTAGTAAAATCATGATGGATAGAAGAAAGTCTGGCATAAGTAAGAACATGAGACAAGGGGTGAAAAATACCTTTAGAAGCAGCCAACACCGAGTGAAACTACGGTAGGGGACAAGTGGGCAAAGAAGCTTCTAGATGATATTGTTGAAGGTAGCTGGGTTCCCGTGTGGGTCGTCGGACTAGGGTGTCAAGTATAGGAGAATCAGATGGGTAGTTAGGCTATGCCGCAGTGGTGTCTAAGACTGCGATATTTCAACGAGAAGTTTGGTCACTATGACATGGGAATTGCATCTAAAGGTGTCATGACGGGCAAATTTGGCGATGCAGTGGTTGATATCAGGTATAGAATGTGCATAGTACCATGGCAGGAGAATATGGCTCTACAAACAAGTGGATTTGGATTAGTTGGCATTGTGGTAGGAAATGTGGGCGCTGCAACAAGTAAAATGGCCAATTTACCTGGTTCCCAAGAATAGGGTGTGATAGATGAATTCGAAATGAGGACGGCAGAAGTATATGGAAAAATATGTTCATGAAATATAACATCTCGAGAAATGAAAATCTTTCTGGTGGCTGAATAATATACCCGATAACCTTTGGTACCATGAGGATAATCAAGGAAGATACAACACGATGAACGAACATCAAATTTAGATAGAGGCCATAGACAACCAAAACCACGTAACTGATCGTAAATGGGTCTTTTGTGAAAGATTATCTCAAATGGTGTTTTGCTATGAAAAAGGGGATTTGGGGTACGATTGACTAGGTAAGTGGCAGAAAGAATAGCATCACCACAAAAAAGTTTTGGAAAGGTTGGCTAGGAAAAGAACGTGCGGGCTACATTGAGTAGATGTCAATTTTACATTCAACAACTCCATTTTGTTGCAGAGTTGAGACACAACTAATTTGATGAATAATCCCTTTAATTTGATATGTATTTGGAATGGCAAATTCAAGGTCATTATCACCACAAATGATTTTAATGCTAGATTTAATTTGGGTTTCAATGAGGTTTATAAAGGTAAGTAAACAATTTTTAGTTTCAGATATTGTAAGCAAGAGGTAAACCCATTTACATTGAGAAAAATCATCTACGACAGTAAGAAAATATTTTGCCCCTTGTAAAGTTGGAAAATGATGACCACCCCAAATATCAACACGGATTAACTCAAAATAAGATTTTGTATTAATAGAATTGGAATGAAAAGCTTGCCTAGTTAGCATGTGGACAAAGGGAGCAATCATTAACCAAATGAGATTTAACAAGATCTAAACACGAATAAATTCCTTGCAGGCTTTTATTAGGGGTAGCCAAGGCGTTGGTGCCAAATGTGAAGATTGTTGTAAGTGACAGTGGCAACGAAGACACTACACCCAACATACTTCGAAGTATCCAAGTAGTAGAGCCCAGCTTACTCAGTTCATATCCCAATCATCTTTCCCGAATCTTAGTCCTACACAAAACAAAGGTGATGGTAAAGGTTGCATAACATGAAGAGGTTAGAGTCAATTTTGCTACATATATTAAATTGAGTTTAAAGGAAGAAACACAAAGCATATTATAAAGAACTAATTTACTGGTAAAACGGATTGTCCCTATATGTGTTACTTGATCAAGGGCATGATTTGGTAAATAGACATAACGATTGGTGACAGGTATGCTAGTGGTGAAAAATGAGATGAACAAACCATATTATCTATGGCCTATGTGTCAAAGATCCATCGAATAACCTTACTAGATATAGGAGAGTTAGGAGGAATACTTGAAAGATTGCTCACTGTTCACACTTGATAGGTAACACTAACTGATTTTGTTCGATCGATGAGTTCAAATCGATCATGGTTTTGATTAGCGGTGAGATTGCAGGGAGAAGGGGTCATTTTAGCTTTCTTAGATTTGGAATCCGTGTGGTGAGCCTTGGAAAAGGAGTTTGGGGGACCTCTCTTATCCCCTTAAACATTAGTTTACTTGAGCTTTCGGCAAACGTCGATAGTATAAACCTTGTAGTCACAATGGTCGCACTGACGATATTGATGGCAGTTCTCAATTTTATGTCCAACAAGGTTGCAGCGATCACATTTGAGATGTGAATTTCTTGGTGAAAAATTTCTGCTCAAATTTGGTGGTTCATTTTTTACAACAAAAGCAGTTGCATCCAATATTTTCCCAACCACTTGTAAAGAGATATTTCACTGTTTTTCATCTTGAACAATAAGGGAAAATACCTTGTTCACAGGCGATAATGAGTAAAATATGTCCTCGATCGCCAACATAAACGAGGTTAAGTCTCATGAGGAAACGAATAGTACATTGTGTTTGCTGGTATTCATGCAATTTCTTTATTATGTCACCATAACAAGTTGGAAGAGGACTTAGAGCATCACAGGCATCCCACAATCCTTTTAGTTTTGTATAGCATTCACCAATGTTCATGTGTCCTATAAAGCACTCATGAATGTCTTGTTCAACATGGAAAAGGTGCACGCTATTCGCATGAGAGAAACGCTCTTTCAATTCTCGCCAGATGTTGAAGCACTATCAGTGTACATCACACTTTGAGCAATCTTTGGTGAACTGGTGTTGATAATCCAACGAGCAGATTGTAGCGAGTCTACTGCTTGTATTCTCTGGTGGATGTTCCTAATGGTTTCGTAATGAACTCGTCCACAAAGCCATCCTTGTTTTTAGTAATGAGAGCCATGAGCATGGCATGACTCCAAAGAGGATAATTGTCTTGTGTCAATTGTTGAGTCACAAGGACAAAACCTGGTTGATCAGAATGATGGAGATGAAAGGGAATGGATCGTCGTACATGCTGGTAGAGGTCTTAGCTGCATTTGAGGTTTTATCATTCTTTGCCATGGAAACTGAAAAGGATGGAGGCTTGGAGTTGAGTGGGCTAGGGAGATTTTAAGAGCTCTGATACCATGTAAATTTCCTATGATAGGAACATAAAGAAAAAACACCGAATTGGAGAAGCTTTTTGTATATTCGGTATACAAAATTGATGTGTACAATGAGTATTTTATACGAGAGAGAGAGAGAGAGAATAATTTTATATCCAAAAATAGTAACTGTCCTAACTAATAACCCTGATTTAGGAAAATTACAAAGAATAAAGAGAGAATAATTAGGTAGGATCTTGATTCTTAACAATATATACATACAAACACATAAATCATTTGGGTACTTTCACATAACACAATTAAGGAGCAAACTTTATATTTTCTACCCAAAAATAGGCTAATTAGAAAGGAAAATAAAAAACGTTGCAATTTCTCATATAATTTCTTTACGCATATATTGTTCTTATATTTTGATGTACATATTTTGTTGCGCTACTATAATTTCTACGAGTATTGGAAAAAAATATTTAACATTCAGGCACCAATATTTATGGTGCTAGCGGGGACGAGTCCGTGGAGGCCCTTCAAAACGAAGATAATCGTACATGATTCCTATGAAGGGTCCTGCTGTTCTTGCCTGTGTCAAGAAAATTGTGTTTCTTCCCTCAATCAGTCGACTCCCTGCTATGCCAATACTATACAAGTAGTATAATCCATGAATTCCATGTCTTGCAATCGCATTATCCCTGCCTATTTGTCCCGTACTAAGGTCTGGAACAGCTGAATTTGGATTGTTAAAGCGCACCTTACAAGTACAAAAGTTGAAACAAAAAAAAGAAAAATCAGTGCCATGTAAAAGTAGATAATCAATTATTCATGATATTATTTTATTACTACTAAAAGAAAGAATCTAGAATAACATTATATATTTGTCGTGATTATATTTTGTTTATAAATTGGAACAATTTTCTTGAAAAACTTCCTTACCTGCATTTCAGCCCCGGTAGCCGATGCCAATGCTACCTGGAGAGTATAAGTTGCTCCCTTGTTAACATTTCTCAGGTCGAACAGAATTTGCCATGTGGTTGATTCGAATACACCATTTCCCGCATTCCTACGTTGCAATATTGCACATATAAATGGATTTCATAGTTAAATATTATCAAAATTGATTTTTACGAGACTGTTAAAACGAAATTTACCTCGCAACATGAGCAAAAAACCAGTCCTTTCTATAATCACTGCGACCAATTGTGTAAACAAGGTCGTTCTTAGGATATAGATCCTTGTAACGAGTCCACAGTCCATATTCTCTAAACCTGTAATTCATGAAAGTGAAGGTATATAAGCGTTATGGTTGATGATAGCATTCGAAATACAAAAAGAGGTAACCAGAAATCGATCAAACTTTTCGCCAGAAATTGCGTATGAATGGGTCTTTATCGTTGGGCTCGCATCTGGAATGAAAAATTCTGCAGCTGTCCTATCAGCAATTCCAATTTCCCAGAGTGTTGGACCTGCCCTTGGAGGCTCAAATACTACATTTCTTAACTTGATATTAGATCCTGCATGAATCAAATCAATAAGGGCTTATTAGTATCAACTAACATAGAATCAATATATTATGTTAACTAATTTAAGAAAAACCTGGTTTGATGGTAATGTCAGAAGCATATTTGTAATCTCCAATTGTACCAGGGACCCATGCGAACAAACTATAAGTCCCAGGTACGACGTTGTTAATGACAAAATTCCCCTTGGAATCTGCTTGTGTCCAGAATTGGTAACCCTTGCTTTCTGTCTGCCACGACCCGGCGGCTCCCGGTGCTGCCAAGCCCACATAAGCAGAGGCGCCAGCCACAGGGTTCTTGTTAATGAACCTAGTAAACACCAATAATCGTTTATTTTTCCTTTTGTTGTTTATAATAATCTCTAATATACATTAGATTTGATGTTTACTTCGGGGTATAATTAATGAACTCGACTTTAATAAGTTCACAAGTCACCATGTATAGGGTTCCTCAGAAATTAATACTAATCCCGTTCTCATGCTGGATCAGTTGTAGTCTCGTCTTGAGACATAAACAAGTTGAGATCCGCTATCCAACTTGTTGTCCACTCAATTAATTACTAACACGTTAATTTTAAATTAACGTGTCATCTCAAATTTACCTTCACTAACTTCACCACTAAATCACCAAATTGATGACATGTTAATTTAAAAATAATATGTCAATAATTAATTGGATTGACAGCACATACAAACACATGCATAAATACAATTGCGTGATACTTCTTTCATTAATGACAGATATAAATAAATTTCTTTTTCAATATCTAAATTTTGCAAAATCCAAACTAATCCTAATGGCAAATCGAAAGGCAAATGTTGATGGAAATACCAGTCATGAACTAATAATTGGCCGCTCACAGCTCCCCTCTGGTTGGATTTAAGAAAATCATTTGAAAGAGGAAAATTATATGGCCAGCTAGCAGTCTCCTTTAACATCTGAGTAATAACACAAACTGTAAGGATTTATGAACACAAAGAAATAAATTTCAATCCTCTTATTATAAATTACGTTATTAATTTAGCTTTAAATTTTAATATTAGAGCCAATAAATCAGTACCTACCCTTTGTTTTGCATCATCCCAGAGAACAGAAGGATTCTTCTTGGCTCTAACATCAGAGTTAAAATAGATATAAACAGGACCAAAAACCTTTTTCCAGTACTCTTCGCTTTGAAATTTTGGAGCTGACTCCTCCCCGGCGTAATGAGTACTAAAAAACATCTATATATACACGAAACTAATTAATGTAGTAACACGAAAGACAGCATTGCCAAAGTTCGCAAAAACTTTCATTTTATTTTCTATTTTTCATATAAAAAGTATATCTTAAAATACTTAGTAGCATCGAGGAAAGACATAGGACTTACGGAAAGCACAGTAGCAGCAACATGAGATGTAAGATCTTGTTTCAATGGTCCACCAGTACGAAATTCATTACTGGGTGTTATCGTCCAAAACCCTATTGGCACTTGATCACTGCTTACCCACCCATGAACCTTGTTGTCTTTGTTATCACACGAGAACAAGTACTTATCGTCCACCTACCATATGTCAAGTAATAACTTAAAACTCAGAATTCTCTACACAAATAAACTTAATATGAGTAGAAGGATGTTTCAAACATCATTAGAATATAAACTAATAAGTTGAAAGTACACGAGTATATACAATGCTAGTAGTATTATTAACATTTTTGACAAAGAAACCATAGGTTCATTAGTTTAAAGTTAGAAACAAAGAAAAACAACTTATGACATGTTGGCTATGTTAAACTGGATAACACTTACTCGATTAGAAAAGAAGAGAAAACTTTGTTAGTTTCTATGTAATATTACTTATCAGTATGTACCAGACATTTTTTGCTATATGAACTTCTATGAGTGCAAACATTTATACCTCTCCTTTGAATGTCGGATTAGTTGGATTCGTCAAGAGAACAGCTTCTGGATAATCAAGAACCTGACCAGTCTGACGATCCACAGTCATTGGCATGAACCTTTGCCTATGATCCGACATAGCCATGTAGTTAAACCTATATATAAATTTATATAAACACAGTTGAAACCATGAACAATTCATAAGATATTTAGGTAAGATTTTATAATTCAGAGCAAAATTATTTTCCTAGAAAGAAGGAACAAATGAGAATATTATATGTTTACTTGTTTTCTTGAAGCTTGAACACAACTCTTGCTTCTTGGATGTCAAAAGCAGGCCATCCTTTTAGACGCTCCAGCACAGTATACGTATAAAATCCAGGCGAATCACGAAGCATTATATATCTGCTTGTAGTAATGGCAAATTCTAAATGCAGCTACAAGATTGCATCAAAATTTTATATACTTGTGGAATTTGGGATGCACCTTTTGTCTACATTTAGGGGACTTTTTGCAACTCCATTGTCCCATGTTGATATGAATGAAATCTCTGTTTGATCTGTATTTTGCACAATGACTTTAAAACTTGTCCCTACCAACCTGCACATGAACAAGATCCATCCGAAGTGAATTTAGAGATAGAGTACATAGAAGCATAAATTAGATGTATCTCCATGCACACAAGTCTTAGCCCTTGTTTGGGCTCCATTTTAATGGAAATTTGGAGGAAAAATGAGTTTGAGATAGTGGATTTTTGTATAGTTAATAAATAAGGAAAAATTTTCTATTTACGTGTAATATTATTTTATGGTAGAATATGTAGTTGAAAATGAGTTTGACAAAAAAAATGAGTTTTTTTAAAAAATGGGAGCCAAACATAGGCTAATATAATATGTGTTTTTTAAGTGGAAGAAGTAAGCCAACAAATTTTTTGACACGATGCATGATGACCACGAGTACGATGAAGACACACCGAGTATAAAATAGAAATATTTTGTTTGGTGTCATTAGTTTCAAGACAGGTCGTATAATTTATGCTAATCAAAATTCATATTTTAACCACATATTTTATGAGCTCACAATTTATCATCCACTTTTTATCTATGCATTCTACGGGAATCATTGCTTAAATTATAATTTGATCATGGCGAAACATAGGCCTGTCAAATAATCTACCCAGCCGATGTTTGGCTAACAAAACAAAAGAAAAATGTTACTTACTTGTCCAGGTTGTCCTTTTCTCCTGGCTTGTTCCAAATGATATCCCAGTACCTAATTATTTATAAGAATGTCATCAAACTCACAATGCAAGTCAAGGCATCATGTTTGATAATGTAAACAATTAATCTTTCAATTAATAAGCAATATAATCTTATTTTTAACATTTCCCCTTTATTTTTAATTAGAGTTTATTCTGCATTGAACTAAGTTAAGTAAGTTTGCATCAGAAATAATTGAGATAATTGTGAATATTTACCCTCTATTGCCCTCTTCATTTTGGGTTTCTAGCAGATTGTCACTCCCTTTATACCTTATATCTGTCACAAAACCACCTGGATCCGTCAAAGTAAGGCTGACAATCCCATTGTTCATTACAACCTGTGACACATATTGGTTAGTACATAAATATTTCATAATTCCATTACGACCAGAAGACGCTATACAGTTGTTTGGGAGAATTTTATCGATAATTCTACAAGGTTTCGACATCTTCACATGTTCGATAAAATGAACTATCACGTCTTATGTAACAACTGTTGTGGAAAAAATAAAAATTGCCGAGTGTTATTTTACTTGCTGTTTCTGTCGAAGCAATTGCACGCCATCCGCGGGTGAAACGTCTTGAATGTTGGCTTCAAGTGGAGCTCTTCTGCAATTAAAATTAACAAAGATGGATCAAGGTGCGACTATACTTTTAATTCTGCCTATGTACAATAGAGTTTAAAACTGTGCAAAAAATGTAAATCCCTGCCCGGTTGCCCCACCCGTGTATAAGTGCAATGCGGAGGTATGCCATTTATAAGTAAATTTATATATTAGATACGGTTTGTATAATTTTATATACTAAATAAATAAATAAATTATTTTGACATTAAAAGGTTACTTTTGAAGTCTGGAAAATAAAATTATTACAATACTCCTACTAATGTAACAAGTTGATTCTTTTTGCTATCAGTTATGCTACTCTGACAGGGAGTTTATACAAGGATTGATGACAATGCACGCTTGTCATTCATTCATTGGAAGATGAAAATTTTTTAAAAAAAACTGGCAAATCAAAACATGCCACGTCATCATTGTCACCAAGCGATTACATTGATGCATGCTCAGTCAATTTTGCTGCACTATATAGTAATTGGAAATTTAATTAGCCAATAATACAGATTTTTCATTCGAATATAAACTTCAGTGCTTTTTTTCTCCATAATCAATTGAGTTTCATTGAATAATGTAAAGATTTAGGGTTCTATATTAAAATGTCAACCTTATTAAAAGAAGTAGTCTAAACTCTTATATATTGGTCTATATTTTCATTTTTATTCGATATGAAATTTTATCTCTTAATATGTCTCATCAAGATGGTAGCTCGTTTGAACATATCAATTTTGAAATCTGTATACTCAATTTTTTTGAGTCTTAATAGAATCGAATTGCTTGTTGAAACTTAATTGGTTCTGATACCATGTTAAGATTTAAGATTTCATCTTAAAAGATCAACTCTATTAAGAGGGGTAGCCCAAACTCTTATAAGTTGGTCTATATTTTCATCTTTATTCGATGTGAGATTTCATTCCTTAAAAAATAACATATGGGATATTAGTCTGAAAATGTGAGAAAAACAAAATATATTGGTATGGAAAGCATAGGCCAACATAAACGAAGAATAATACAAGGTTTTGTACGGAAAATAAATTATTTTCCTTTTTTTTTTAAGAATGAGAGACCCTTTTCTTCCATATTTTTCAAGAACCAGAAATTTTAAAGAAACTCCTTATCTAGATAATATTTCTTGAAGAATTAAAAATCAGTTTTAAAAACAAGACTCTGTCATGAGAAATTAATGGAAGTATGAAAAGAATATATAATTCTTGCATGAATAATAACTCACCCATTCAAAGGCTTACAATTAATTAATGGAGGCATCATTCCGGCCAGCCACCAGACAATCAATTTCCACCTTCCAACCTGCCCCTTTCCCATTTTCCTTTTTCTAAATTTACCTGCAAATGTTAGAAAAAAGTTTACTATACGAACAGCTTTCACACATGCAAAAATATATACGTGTGTAAACTGTATGTACGTATATGTATATGTCTGAACAAATAAACAAGAATAATCTTCATGGCATATTTAGCTTTTGCCGCATGAATTTTATTCAGTCGTTCATCTGATATCTAAACATAAAGAAAATAAACGATAATGAGAATCTGGCATGCAAATATGGCAGAAAATCTTTGTCTTTAAAAACACACAATGAAAATAAATGTGGACGTATGGGATTCTTGATTTCATGCTGTTTATGCGTTTTCTTTGCCTCGTTTGTGACAGATGAAAACCTAGATTAAGGTCCAAAGGGCAACAAAATAAACAGAAAAAAGTAAGAAATACCTGTAATTGAAATGGAATAGGGCTTGCTGGAGTATGTAAACGTTAAGGCTTTTATAAATTGGAGTGCGTGAAAATATTAAAATTTTCGATTTTTGTGAAATTTTATGAAATCGGCTGGTGTTAAATAGGAAATATTTGTATGCATGGAAAGCAGAGAGGAAATATATTAATTAGTATAAAAGTGAATTAGCACTAAATGGAAATCTCTTGTTATCATATTTTGATATTAAACATTATTCAATAATTTTTTTTTAAATATAGAGAAAAATAAGACTTACATATATTTTTTTATTGAAAACCAAATCTTATATTTATAGGGAAAAATAGGACTGTCTGTGGTACAATAGTCATAACAATTAGGATTGTATGAATGCAAAATCATTTACTAATTACTATTTAATATACAACACTCCCCCTTGAATAACTCATTACACAATAACTATCTTGTTAAATACATTGTTTGATAAAAAAATCCAATAAGACAAAAATATTAAACGACAGAAAAAAGAGTATAGCTAATTTGGAGAATTAAAAATAAACTTGTCTCATCAAAACCTTGTCACAAAAATAAAAAATTTAATGGGGGTAAGCTTGAGCAAATGGAAAAGAGTACAACTATTCCTCTAGATATTGACCACCAAATATTTTTAAATCGACATATTCCTATCTCATGTATCAATTACTTCGTTGCCGGTGCTTTTATGAGTAAGTCAACAACATTATCACTTGAATGAATTCGTTGAAAATCGATGTCTACATTCCTTTGAAACTCATGCGTATATGAGAATTTTAGAAAAATGTGCTTTGTCACGTCCCTTTTATATAATCTCCTTAGATTTGTGCAATATAACCTACATTGTCTTCAAATAATATATTCATCTATCTTGTTTGACTTCGGTTAGCATAATAATTTGTTGAAAAACAAAAATTCTCGATGCTGTCTTTAGGAGTATCATATACAAGTTATAACATGTGAGAGTAAAATCATAAAATTATATTGAGAGGAAATATCTCATAGGTTATACACATTCATCATGCAAAATAATACCTTACTAAATGGAGAATAGAGGCGGTAACGATGCTAAAGTCCATGTTCTGGGTCGGGGCGAAGTCACCAAAAATTGTCATTGCCCCAGTAAACCTATGTTAATATTTATTCTACTAAAATAATATAAAGTTTCCTGAAGACGAGAATAGAACCCAGGGGGGAAAAAAAATTGAGAACCCACCAATCGAACTCAAATTGCGATTTCGAAATCGTTAGTTTGAATTCACGTAAACCTATCAATGTTTTGGTTCAAAATTGACCAAACCGATTTGATTTATGTTTTGATAGTTAAAATTCACTGAAATCAACTGAAACCATCCATCCAAATTCAAAAAAAAAAAAAGGGAAAAAAAAACTCCAAGATATATGAGTTGCTAGTTCAATTTATACTTCGACAAATTTACTTGTTGTCAACTTCTATTAGCTCGAGAAATAATGATTTATTTTTTTATCAATTTCAAAATTAACAAATTTTGAACCTTAAACTTTTGCTACATTATTGTTTTAAAGTATAGACAAAAATATTACTAATGTAACATTTATGTTTAAAATTTCCAATTTAAATGTTATATTGAACTTTCAGATCAATATATTTATTTTTTTGCATGTTTGAAAGATATTATTGTCATGTCGTTAAACCTAGTTTGAAACCAAAACTGAAGTTCAAAAAATGATTTAATTTGAAAAATGAAATAGTATATTAATATCTAATTCATATTCTAGAAATCTAAGGGTACATTTGGTTTGTTATTTTCATATTACTTTTAGTTTTTCAATTTTGCAAAATGTTGAAAACGTGTTTGGTCTGATTTTTTGAAAATATATTTTCGAAAATGAGGTCAAATTTTTATAATAGAAAAACCCAACACGCGTTTTTGCCGTTTTGAGTGTTTTTAGGGAAAATTTTGAAAACGCTCAAAATATGGAAAAAATGCCTTTAAATAAATTTTTAAAATAAAAAATTTTAAAAAATAAAAATATGAAATTCTAAAGAATAAAAATTTTGAAAAAAAAATCTAAAATTCTTAAAAATAAGAAATAAAAATATGAAAAATAAAATTATAAAAATTTATAGAAAAATAAACAATAAAAATAGTCCAAACTTTACATAAAAATTTTAAAAATATATATTAAATGAATACGAATAAAAATTATGAATTCACGCCACTAATTTTTATTTTTATTTTCTATATTTTGAACTTAATTTATTATTTATTTTTATTTTACTTTTGTAAGGAGAAAAAATATTGTATTCATCAAATTTAAAATGTATGTATTACTTGATAATATATTAACATAATTTTTTTCTATTTTTTATTGAATAATCAGATTTTATGAATAAAATATTATTAAAAAAAAAAAAAAGGTCGTGCCTTTTATATCTGGGAAAAAATATTTTAAGATTCACCAATTTCAAAATATGTATGTTATTTAATATTATATTAATATTAAATTATTAAAATTTATTGATTAATAAGATTTCTTGAATAAAATATTATAAAAAAATTCTCAAAATGCAAAAGTAAATGCGTTTTCCATTTTTATATTTTCAAAAACAGTTTTTTAGAATGACAAAAAGAATGCATTTTCAACAATTTCAAAACATAAACTCAAAACACAAAATGAATTCAAAACTCAAAACTACAACACGAAGAAAACAGCCCTTAATATTCAAAACTTATTATTTCCAAAAATATTGTCAAATGGGGTCCGAATTCAAACTATTTTTCACGTAAATTCAAAAATTTCTTCTATTTCGAACCAGACATCGTAAAAAAAATTAGAGTCTGTTCTCTTTACCATTTTCAAGCCGTTTTCTTTTTTCGATTTTTCAAAATAGTGAAAACGCGTTCTCTTTCCTATTTTCGAAAATGAGGTTTTGAAAACAAGTTAAAATTTACAAAGAAAACACGATTTTTTCAGTTATAATCAAGCCAAAATTTTAAAAACGCGTCTTTTTTGTGTTTTCAAAACAATTTTTTAAAATGTCAAAAAGAACACATTTTCAACAATCTCAAAATGAATACTCAAAATACAAAACCCAAAATGAATTCAAAACACAAAATACAAAATTGAAACATAAAGAACGACCCCTTCTTATTCAAAAACTCACAACCCCTTCTTATTCAAAAACTCTTTTTTCCTAAAAATGTATGTCAAGATGGGCATGAATTCTCGTTTTTGGGGTGTGACTAGCTCGATAATTGGACTTCCTCATAAGAAAATCACAATCTCTACTTCACATAAAGCAAAAAATCCTTAGTCAATAAGTCTTTGTCTTTTTTATTTTCTTTCTTCATTTTATTCACATATTCTATCAAAAAAATAATATTACACATAAAATCAAAAAAATTTCTTACTTTTTAACCATACATTCTTCCATCAATTACTATTCAAAATCCAATTCTTCTCCAAAATGAATGTCAAACACAAATCAAAATGGATGTGAAAAACAAACTAAATGAAGTCTAAGAAATAGTGATGGCAACGAGCCGAGCCGAGCCGGCTCGACTCGTTGCCCCACGAGCTCGGCTCGTTGCCCTACGAGCCGAGCTCGTGGCTCGATACAAAACGCGCCGAGCTTCTGCTCGAATAGTTTGCTCGTAGGCGAGCTCGGCTCGGCCCACGAG